TATGACCGAACCCGAAAGCTTTTTCGCGGAATGCATATGCCGTTTGCTCATCTTCGGGTCAATACACCGTTTGGAATTTGAAATTTTAGGTTGGGAATGGGAACCCGATCCCGCGACCCCGGGCGGGGGTCAGGCTCTGCCCTTGCATTGTACTGGGCCTCTCCGGCCAAACAGGGCGCTGGGCTGCCCATCGGCGCGCCGACTCTGCCCTCGCGACATCCTCCCCATCCGCCCTCGGGCCCCGCGAGTCTGCGCGCCACCCCAGATGGCCGCGGCGAGCACGGTGGCGAAATTAGAGGAAATTTCGGATCGGCGCAGTCGTACTTTTATTCATTATTATGACCCGCAGTTGTTGTAGTAGTAATAGTAATAGTAGTAATAGTAGTAGTAGTAGTAGTAGTAGTAGTAGTAGTAGTAGTAGTAGTAGTAGTAGTAGTAGTAGTCGTAGTATTAGTATTAGTAGTAGTAGTAGTAGTAGTAGTAGTAGTAGTAGTAGTAGTAGTAGTAGTAGTAGTAGTAGTAGTAGTAGTAGTAGTAGTCGTAGTAGTAGTAGTAGTAGTAGTAGTAGTAGTAGTAGTAGTAGTCGTAGTAGTAGTTAGTAGTAGTAGTAGTAGTAGTAGTAGTAGTAGTAGTAGTAGTAGTAGTAGTAGTAGTAGTAGTAGTAGTAGTAGTAGTAGTAGTAGTAGTAGTTAGTAGTAGTAGTAGTAGTAGTAGTAGTAGTAGTAGTAGTAGTAGTAGTAGTAGTAGTAGTAGTAGTAGTAGTAGTAGTAGTAGTAGTAGTAGTAGTAGTAGTGGTAGTAGTAGTAGTAGTAGTAGTAGTAGTAGTAGTAGTAGTAGTAGTAGTAGTAGTAGTAGTCGTAGTAGTAGTCGTAGTAGTAGCCGTAGTAGCCGTAGTAGTAGTAGTAGTAGTAGTAGTAGTAGTAGTCGTAGTAGTAGTAGTAGTAGTCGTAGTCGTAGTCGTAGTCGTAGTCGTAGTCGTAGTCGTAGTCGTAGTCGTAGTCGTAGTCGTAGTCGTAATCGTAGTCGTAGTCGTAGTCGTAGTCGTAGTCGTAGTCGTAGTAATACGAATAGTATTATTACTATTATCCAACTCCTCCTCCGCCCCCTCATCATCATCATCATCGTCCTTATCCCCCTCCTCCTCCTCTTTACCGTCCTCTGCTTCCTCCCCATAGTCATGGTCTCATTCGTCTCATGATGTTAATATTGTTTGTGTTCATGTAGCCCTTGTCTTTTTGCTCACGGTCCCAACGCCTAAGGCGTTCTCCACAATAACCAGATAAAACACGTGGGTCCTCGCTCCCAGGGGCAAGAACACCTCCTCCCTGAAAGCATGCCTTCTTCAAGTCCATACTCCTTCCTCCTCGTTCTCCCTTGCGTTCGATCCACTCTCTTCGTCCTCATCCTATGGAGACCTTCGTCCCATCGTCCTCCCCCGCTTTCTATCTCAAACCCTGTTCAGTTACTCGAAATTACCCGTAACCCCTGCGCAGAAGCGCGCATCCTTTGTTACCAGCGCAAGACGGGCCGTGGCGGCACAAGCGCGCACACAGCTGCGTGGCTACAAATATTCCCGCCAGTGCGGGTCTTTGTGGAAAACGAACCGTTGAGTGCGAGCATTTGAACAAGAGTACCCTGACGTTACCCCGGTTATTCCCGATAATCGTTTTTTATCATCAGGTGGGACGTCAATGACTGGGCGAGGGGGGTCCCTTCGACTCCGACAGCCTGGAACTGGCGTGCAAGCGGCGGGGGGGACAACCCAGAGGCCCTGGGGCTCCAGCGTTTACACCAGTGGCACGGGCTCGGCCTTTGGCGTCCCCGAACTCACTCGCTGCGGGTGCGAAGTCGTCAAGAGGTCTCTTAAGGGTTGGTGGCCAGTTGGGCTGGTATTCGCCCGCGTGTGGCAAAAGGTGCCAGACGGCGCCGATAGCCAGGAGGGTCGCGTTGCCCGAAGCCATGCAGGTCACTCACTGGGGAGTGAAATTCGTCTCTGATCCCCGCTGATCGGTCTTGGAAGGGCACAGGCGAACAAAGAATCTAGCTGCGTCGGAACACCAGCATACATCCGTGCGCCACTTGGTGTTCCAGCCGCAAGGAGCGCACAGTGCCCAGCTGCACTCCGGAACCCGCAGCTCTTGAGAGAATGTTGGGCGTGTGCCTCAGCGAGCCAGGAAGCTACACGTGTTCGAAAACCTTGGCAACGCGAAGGCGAACTTCTTCTCGAGTGCAGAACCACCACGCATATGTTCCCCTCTTATAAAGACTTGAAGTATGCCCCCCCCCGGATTGTCCGTACCCTTTTTCGTGCTGCAATTTACATGTGGTCCTGCCCCGTTGTTCATCCTAAGAATGAACTCGTACCACCCCGGCCAGGCCGGCATCGACACCCCTCATCATCCTCAAATTAAGTAAAATGTATGAATAAATGATAAAAATATGAATATATTAGTAATAATAATATAGTAATATATAATATATATATATATATATATATTAA